TGATATGCAAAATTCAGTGCAGTAGCACTTCTGACTAACCTTGCAATAGCTTTCTTTTGGCTCATGCTGTGGTGAAGCAAATAACTCGCAATGAATTGTTTGCACATTTCTGTTTATTGTTAAAATTAAAAATCTAAATTTGACTAATTGTCACCATATGCATTCCATTTCCATACTCCTAATATGAATAAATTACATCAGATATATTTTTATATGTTTGATGAATGGCAAATTATATTCTGCTTTAAAATGCAAGTTATTCCTTTTAAAATCGAACACTGAATTTGTGAAATTTTCCATTTTTAAATGAGACTCTTGGCAATTGCAGGTTTTCCATTTGGTTTCTGACAGCATTGACTGCATTATTGACAGGTCTAGAGAGGTTTCCCACTGGTGAGTTCAGATAATGTGTTCTCAAAACATCAACCAATGACAGATACGCAGGCAGGGAAAGCATCTCCACTTCTATTGATGAAAAACATTGTCATCAAAGGTCTTTCTTCATTCATAATTAAATCATCAGGTTTGTATTTCCCTCCCTTTTAGTTCAACCTCAATCAGGCCTCACTGACAATTTCACCAGATCTAGAAACACTGGACTATTGTGATTTGGATCCACCAGGCACCACCATAAAAATAGCACTGGTTAGTTTTGGTGAACAAAACTAGTTAGAGATTTAGCATGAGTTACATAATCTTGAGGGTGCTATTGGAAATTTCAAATGAGTTAGGCTTTTGGGGGAATGGTAGTGTGGTGGTAATGTCACTGGAGTAGCTAACCCCAAGGAGATCAGGGTACAAGAGATCAAATCCCACCATCAGTATTTTAGCTGGTAAAATTTATGTTCCATCAATAAACATGTTGGAATATAAAACTGGTCTCAGTGATATTGGTCAGAAGACTGCAGTGAAATTGCCATGAGTCAAATTCATATCACCTGAAACTCTGGTCACAGTCAATTTGTCATCCGTTCCCACTGACTAAATAGGAAATCTAATGGAAAAATGTCTGTGATAATCCAAGTTCCATACTAGTAAATTCAAAGGAACTGAATGCGTGCACACTTGTAATATCACCACACCAACTCATTGTGATGGAGTGAGGCCAATATCACAGACAAATCTGCAGCAATGGCCACAAAGTGATCTCACCAATGTCCTGAACAAGGATGCACTACAAGACATTTTTAACATGGCTGAAACTAGACTGTTTTACTCTGTTTTATCAGATTGCACTATACTGCTCAAAGATGAAGCATTTACTGGCGGGAAACTAAACATACTATGGTCTTCCCCAATGTGGGTGGCACTGAAAATCTACTGCTTCTTGTGATTGGAAAGATCGAACGGCTACATTGCTTTGCAAATGTCAAGCCACTACCCACACAATATGAGGCTAATTAGATGACCTCCAGTATGTTAGAGGCCAGGAGATCACAAAATATAATAGCAAACTATCACCCTGCTGACCAATTCATCCACCTGTTTTCCAAGCTGAAGCCACAAAGATCTCTTAAGGTATCAGCTGATCTTATTACTGCAAAAAAAGCTGAAATCTGGCTTGATTGATCATTGTTTTGTTTTGATTTAATTTTAACTAGATGGTCTCTCATTAAGACTAAAGCACACAAAGTTGCAGATTTTATTTTAACATAAAATCAAATTTATTAAGCAACAGAAGTTAAGATAACATAGAACAAATTAACTGATTTACTTATAACAAATTAAAAGAGTTTCAAACGCATAATAAAAGTTTAAGTCCAAATATTTTTATACAAGTTTAAAAAAAATCCCTTGTACAGCAACTAACATGATCCCCTGTACAGTACTCATACCAGAATCACTTTCTCTAACACCACACTAGATTTAAGACAACTGTGACTTTAACTTTGAGAATGAAATATCTGTTAGCTTGTTCATGGACTTATCGTGCACTTGAGTTAAACAAACTCAGGTTCAAGTCCTCTGGGGTTTTATTGCAACACTACTAGTCTGGGACAATCACTAACTCCTTATGCTAAGGTCATCTAGTTTACGATATTCTCCCTTCTCAGAAGCACTATGCATGCATCTCTATGCAAGAACTTCACAGAAATGCCAGAACAAAGTAAAACTGAAACAAACCTTCTCCCTCTACTATGGGTATTTTTAAAAAAAATACTCCCAATGTAGAAATTTCCAACAAAATCCTTGAGATATGATTGTTTATTTTGCTAGGTCAGAAGAACTGTAAAATAGACACAGCCCCCATAGACTGCTGCAGTTGCCTTCACAAACTCTTTTTAAATAAATTGCCATGTTTAAAGAAATACCACAAGTTAATTATTTACTTCAGGCATATGGAAAACCTACATGTAACTTAAAATTGAAACTCAAACTTGAATAAATGATGTTAAAAGTATGTACAAGCCAGTTTCTATCACAGGTGTTATACAGATGCTCCAGGATTTTGTACTACTTCACAGAAACACAAAAAAAACATGTTTGACTTCATTGATCCTTTCTGAAGACAGCCTGCTAAGTAGAAAGATATTACTGAGATTTCCACAGCTAACTCCCATCGTTTTTCAATGTCTGTTACAGCACAAGGTCAGGTCATTGTAAGGTATGAACAACTTGAAAAATAAAGGCATATTTCACTTACCGTTTTTTTCTTAAATACGGTATATTTGGGGGCAATTGGGGTTTTATATGAATAAAAGTAGAGATTGCTGGAAAAGCTCAGCAGGTCTGGCTGCATCTGTGAAGAGAATTTAGAGGTAACGTTTCAGGTCTGGTGGACCCTTCCCCCTCAGTTCTCAGAAGGTTCACCGGACCTGAAACGTTAACTCTGAGTTCTCTTCACAGATGCTGTCAGACTTGCTGAGCTCACCAGCAATCTCTATTTCTGTTTCGATTTAAAGCATCCACAGTTCTTTCGGTTTTTATGGGGTTATATAGGGCCTTTTTCGGCTAGCTTTAATCTCTATTTAACACAAATTTGTGGGGAGGCCCGTTGTAATTTGACTTATTGCCATTGTACTGTATCATCAATTGTTACAATAACTTATTTCGTTCAGTAATGTCCTTCAGGGAAGGGAATCTGCAATTCTTACCCGGTCTGGTTGACATGTGACTCCAAATTCACAGCAATGCGTTCAGCCCTTAATTATTGAGTCACTCAATTGAAGTGCAATCGTCAACAAATGCAGGCCCTGCCAGCAATGCCCGCACATGATGAAAAAATAAGGAAAAGGTAATACTCCCTGCACCCGAGTTCAGGACAAGATGGAACTGTAACTCCCATTATGCCGTAGTATTGATCTTTTGTGTCTGCCCTGAGTTACTTTCAATCAAATGGTCATCGCAAAACAGATCATTCAGCCCATCGTGCTTCTGCTGATTCTCTGAAAAAGCTATTCAGTTATCTCCACCTCCTGCAGTTTTTCAAACCACCACTCATTCAATTATCTTTAGAAAGTTCCTATTGAGTCTGCTTGCGCCATCATTTAAACAAGATAACACAGTGTCGAACTGTTGGAACTCAGCAGGCCAGCCAGCATCAGAAGACCCGAAACGTCAGCTTTCCTGCTCTTCTGATGCTGCCTGACCTGCCGTGTTCCTCCAGCTCCACACTGTGTTATCTCTGACTCCAGCATCGGCAGTTCTTACTATCTCCGATCATAAACAACTCGTATTTAGAATAAATCTCCTCATCTCTCCGTACTTTGCGCCAATGCTTTGACAATGCAGGAACCGCTGTTCATGCATTTGCAACACCAACTGAAAATACGATGGTCTAGACAAAAAGGATGATGCAAAAATCTTTCTTTGACAATTTGATTTGGAGCAAGGCAACTGCTGTTTCCTTAGCTGTAGCATGAACTTTGTCATTAGGACTCGCTAGAAAAGAAACATTTATTTCCCATTTGGAACTCCTTTTGAAATAGATACATATTCCCCCACCTTTTCCCAAAATAGGCCATATCTCCATCGAGGAAGAGGATAGCTTGCTTGAAGGCAGCATTATGTTTACGCATTTCTTTTAAATTCGTCAAAAAGGAGGTGCCTGCTCTCCTTTTCCCAATCAATTTGTGTGAATGGGGTTGGGCGAGTTATATTAAAATATTTAATTTTTTTTCTATTGTTGACGGAGTTCCAAGGCATTAGGACATGCACTCTGCTCATAAGATAAAGCTTTAGTGGAATGTTGTAATCCAAGATAGACATAAACTTGTAGTAAGTATATATACGTTTGTGTTTTGGTAGTTCTTTTTTTAAGCCAACGTTGATGTTAGTGTCCATGTATATGCCAGTGTGTAGAATGTGGAGTTCAGCCTTGTTACGTTAATAATCAGTCAACTTCTGAGAGGCAGCGATAGATATGTCATTACTTCCAGCTTAATGCGTTGATTAGCATTTTTTAGCCATATCAGTTATGCACCAACTTTTGACCCATTCCAGCAAGATCCTTTCTCACATATAAAGAAAAACAACTTTGGCAGTTGTTTTGACGGCAGCCATGCGGCAGAGCATGGGGACTAAGCAGTGACAGGGCTTTGCACAAGGGCTGTCTTAGTTGTGGAATGGAAGATCATAATTACATGTTTCTGTGTGTATAAAAATAGGCGTGGGCAAAGAGGCAGGAATTGTGGAGATGCGGACGGGACAAAAGATGGGCAAGCTGTCACTCACGTTGATCGACAGTCGGTGTTAGCCAATAAACATCCGGCGCCGCTTCCGGGTGTCCGGAGCTCTATCCAATGGGTGGGCTGTGGGGGCGGGCTCTGTGTGGGGACGCTGCTGGAGTCAGTAAACGCTGTCAGTGCAGCCGAGTGAGTGCACTCTTTTGGGCAAGCTGACAGATAAGCCCCACTGTCTGCGATATTGGGAGCGCTGACTGCTACAGTACCAGCACTGGACTTTATATTTTAACAAAGTAATAAATATTATTTGAATTACATATTGTAATTCCGTTTTAATATATTTTGGGGTTTTTATTTGTTTAAAACGAGAGCAAAATGCAGAGAGAGAAATATTTGCCAGAGCTGATGGCAGAGAAAGATACTCTGGACCCATCTTTTGTTCATGCTGCACGTCTGCTGACTGAAGGTAAGTTGTGCAACCGACAATTGAACGTGTTGTGCACGTTACTTGTTCCACTGACGGATGCTTTAATGATCCACATCTTTGTATTTTGATCTGCAAAATTACTACTCCCACCCCCCAAAAAAATCCAGCAGCCTCCCTCCGAGTGACCTAGAAACGTGTGCGTGTGGTGATGGAGTGTTACTCCGGTGTGTGTCTGGGGTGCTGCTTCATAAATCGTCCCTTTACACAAATCCTGTTCGGTTGTTTCATCTTCAGTTGTTAGTAACAGGTGTTGTTGCAGGTTGAAGTGAGCTGCGTCCTGGCTCCGGTATTGCTAACAGCTGTGAACTGTCTTTGTGTGCTTAGATATATTTGTGAAAGTCAACAATGAGCAATGTTTGGTATTCAAGTATAGGTATGTGTCTGGGAATGTGTGCTTACCTGCCTGTGTGTGTATATGTGTCAGGAAGTGTGCCTGCGTGTGCCTAAATATTTGTATATCTGTATGTCTGTGATAATATGTCTTTAAATTTATACAGTACCTGTGTCTGCTTCAGTATATATCTTCCGATAAGTATATGTATGTCAGTAAGCGAATCTCTGTGCCTGAGCATGTACCTCTGTGCGTACCCGTGTCCACCTGTGTGCCTGAGTACGTGCGCCTCTGTGCGTACCCGTGTCCGCCTGTGTGTGCCTGAGTACAT